TCCTTCAGTCTCTCCCGGCTCTTGTCGGTCACACACTCGCTGGCTCAGGACTCCAGAAGAGGCAGCCCAAGCGACAGGGCAGTGGGGAAGCCTGGGGCCCTGAGCCCACAGGCATGACCCCCTCGTGGGGTCCGAGGGGGCCGGGCCTGCGGGCATCACTCTCTCCACTCTCAGCATCTGTGCTGCCCTGCTGCCTCTCTGGTCTCTGTCTCTGCGTCTCTCCCTCTCTCCTCTCCTTCCCCTTCCCTCTTTCTCTTTCCCTCTCTCTCTCCACCCCTCCCCCCCCCCCCCGCTCTCTCCCCGTCACAGTGCACACAGGTTGTTTCTGTGTGAAACCAGCACACAGTGGATGAGCCCGAGACATGCGTTATCTCTTCTCTGTCTCCCTCGCTCTCCTTCTCCCTCTGTCTGTCCCTCTCCCTGTCTCTCTGTCTCTTGCTGTGTTTCTGTGTCTCTGTCTCTGTCTCTCTCTGTCTCTGTCTCTCTCTCTCTCCACCCCACTTTCCCATAGCTCATTTTCTTTTAAAGTAAAGGTGCATTTTAAGCCCGGGTATAAACTTGCAACCATCAGCAACGAGACTTAGTATGGGTGATGCAGGAACAATTTTCTGAAGACCCCTTGGAAGAAGCCATTGCAGAGGGAAGGAAAAAGACCCTGGAACGGAAGGGAAGGAAGGAAGCGAGGGACCTGGGCTCCCCTCTCCTCCCGTTAGACAGAAAGCATGTGCACGCGCGCGCGCACACACACACACACACACACACACACACACACTGGGCTCTCCACCTCTCTCTCATGAGGCAGAAAGCATACACACACACACACACACACACACACACACACACACACACACACTGGGCTCTCCACCTCTCTCTCATGAGGCAGAAAGCATACACACACACACACACACACACACACACACTGGGCTCTCCACCTCTCTCTCATGAGGCAGAAAGCATACACACACACACACACACACACACACACACACTGGGCTCTCCACCTCTCTCTCATGAGGCAGAAAGCATACACACACACACACACACACACACACACACACACTGGGCTCTCCACCTCTCTCTCATGAGGCAGAAAGCATACACACACACACACACACACACACACACACACACACTGGGCTCTCCACCTCTCTCTCATGAGGCAGAAAGCATACACACACACACACACACACACACACACACACACACACACACACCAAATAAATAGAGAGAATCACTTTGGAGCTATCACGTCCCGGCCAGAGCCAAGTCCAAGAACCGTTGCGAGCATCTTCGAGGACATATTTCAAGGACCTGGGAAAACCCGCTGTTATTATTATTTTGAAGAACTAGAAACAGGAACTTATAAATCTGTAACGAAAATATCTGTGTGAGAGAAAGACTGGGAGGAAAATTACCAGAAAGTTTCACAGCGGCGGTCTCTAATTATAGATGATTGTTCTTCGCTTCGTAAATGCTCCTTGATCTCACCAAGGCTCTTTGCGGAGCGGATGTTCCTTTGGAAAACGCTGGGAAAAACTGCTTCCTCCAAAGGCGTTTAAAATGGGCTCAGAAGACACGTGTCCTGATAGGGAAAGCGAAGGATCTGGATTCTAAATTGTGGGGGCGCCCATTAGTCGGAGCTTGGAGGTAAATCTTTGTTTGTTTTTGAAGCTGTGCTCGGGGTCCCCCCGGGGTGGGGCGCCAGGGTTTGGGGGGGCTCTGCGGTGCTGGCCGCGTGCGGTTGGAGGTCATTTTCACAACTGTCCCTGTGAGTCCTGTGGGAATCCATCCCAAGGACTGATGACGCTTCATGTTTCAAAAGACAATATTTGCTTTTTATTCGTCTTCGGCTCAGGAACGCCAGAGAAAGGCCTTTCTCAGCGTCCAGCAGGTCAGTGTGTCTGATGGTGAAAATAACTTGGCCCTCGGCCTCCCCTCACTTCAAAACGAGGCCGCGGGGCTGCTCTCTGTGGGGCATCCGTGCACCCCTGGGAGCTGCTGGGGTGGCCTCCAGATGGGGGGAGGGGGTTGTGCAGGGCAGGACGGTCACTCCAAGGCGGGCTAGGCCTCACGGGGAAGAGGCGGCACCAGGGCCCATGACCCCCGGAGGCCAGGGCGGGTCCCCCATCCCCTGACTGCACGTGGCTCTGTCTCTGGGTCCTTCACCCAGACGGGAGGTGGGGGGGGGGGGGCTGACGCCTCTCAGCGTCTCTGTCGGCTTTTCCACATCGCTGCTGTCCTCCTTTGAGAGTCTCAGTGACCAGAGTCTTCGTGACGAGAGTCCTATCACCAGAGTCTTTGTGACGAGAGATTTAGTGATCAGCCTTCATGGCCAGAGTCTCAGTGGCCAGAGTCTTTGTGGCGAGAGTCCTATCACCAGAGTCTTTGCGACGAGAGTTTTCGTGATCAGCGTCTTCGTGGCCAGAGTCCTATGACCAGAGTCTTTGTGACGAGAGATTTAGTGATCAGCCTTCATGGCCAGAGTCTCAGTGGCCAGAGTCTTCGTGGCCAGAGTCTTATGACCAGAGTCCCCGTGGCAGTGTCCTCGTGGTGTCTTGGGAGTGAGGGGCCGCTAGCGCAAGGTGGCAGGCAGGGCCGTGCGGCCTCTGGGTTCTGCTCCCGTGTCCCGGGAGGGTGCATGCCTGGGTCCTTGCCCACAGCCATCGGGGGGTCTCAAATGACTCCACATACGCGGGGAGAAAACGCACAGTCCAGAGGCCCCGCGCTCCAGAAGGATAGTCCTAGGAGTGAGGGTGGACGCACAGGCGGACGGTCCCCTCCCCTCCCCGGGAAGAGGCTTGAGTCACACCCCAAGCGATGTCCACGGCGCCCTTGGAACACGCCACCGCGGGAGACGTCCCGATGGTCACAGCCAGCCCAGACGGCCCCTCCACATGGGGTGTCCAGGGGGAGCGACAGTGCCCAGTGGCCAACCGGGCCAAGGGTCCCAGGACTGGCCTCGCTGTGCCCGGGGGGAGTGAGTGGAGGCCTCGGGCAGTGGACATGCAGGAGTGCACGGCTGCAGGAGTCGCATGGAGGGCGACAGGAGGGGCAGAGACCACAGGGAAGCCGGCCCGGCCAGGCCATGCAGCAGCACCCGGTGGGGTGACCATCGCCTCAGGCCCGAGAGAAGGGCTGGGAAGGGACAGAGGGAGCTGGGGGACAGGCAGGAGGGTCCCTGGGCTCAGCTGGCCAGGAGAGAGAGAGGAGGGGGGAGGAGTGGAGGGGGAGAGGGCGGGGGAGGGGAAGGGGAAGGGAGGGGCGACGGAGGGTTACACTCACACCCCTTTGCACTCACCTGCACACCCCTCATACCCCTTCACTGCCTCACACTCACACCTCCACAGGTAGCCACACACACACACAGCTACACACAAATCCCCCCATACCTGTACACATAGCCACACCCACCCACACACCTGCACAATCACACATCCCCCTGCACACCCACTCGCACACACCACACGCACACCTGCACAGACAGCTACGCGCATACCCCCACGCCCACACACACACCCCCGCACCCCCACCCGCACTCACCCCCACACCAGCGCACACACCTGCCCAGGTGTAGCCAGCCCCCAAGCAGAGGCCCGTAAGAGCTGACGATGACATCGCTGGCCTGGAGCGGCCCAGAGAGGCCCGTACAGTAGGAGCCGCCGAGCTCAGCACCCTCAGGCCCACGGCGGGGCAGGCAGAGAACAGAGCGGTACCAAATGCGGGGTCGGGAGTTTGGGCGCGTACCTGGGGCTCAAGGGGCCCCGCTGGGTGCCCGGCTGGGACTGGGCTGGGTGCGTGGGAGGGAGGGTCTCAGCCCACACGTCTCTCCAGCCCAATACCCTCCCTGGGGCCAAGACACTGGAACGCGCCGCCAGGGAGACGCTTCTCCGTGTATCTCCACGGCTGTGTTAGCGCCCGGCAGGCACAGGACAGCTGCGCGTGTTCCAAACGCGTGATCTGAGAAGGTTCCGGGCGTACCGGTGACACACGGTCCTCGCACTAACTCTCCTCTCTCTCACCTCTCTGCCATTCTCAGGGCGAATGAATGCCAAATTCTCACGTTAATTTTCCTCCCATTAAAATGTTCCCGATTTTCTGCCAAACCTCCCTGACAACGTTTCTTCAAAAGGTCATAAATCTAATAGATTTTGAATTAAAAAAAAAAACCAGTATGACTGAAACTCAGTCACGAGCAACTTTGTAAGCTGTCTGTCTCACGATCACAGTCACTGTCACTGTCCTCCCGTTGTTCATCGATTTGCTTGAGCGGGCCCAGTAACGTCTCCATCGTGAGACTTGTTGTTACTGTGTTTGGCATCTCGAATACGTCACGGGGAGCTTACCAGGTTTTGCCGTGCGGGTGAGATACTCTCGGTAGCTTGCCAGGCTTTCCGAGAGGGGTGGATTAAAACAAACAAGCAAACAAAAACACCCCAGAATTTTATCACTGGGTGTCTACACTGAAAGGCAGAGTCCTCCCGGCAGCCTTGCTACAGCACCCACTATTGTGAAGGAAACGGCGTGTGATGACACAGGATGAAGGTCACCCATGGGCGTCTAGGCTGGACCCGATGCGTCCAGACAAAGAAGCGTCCACGAGGCTCACTCGACAGTGCTGGCTGGTGCAGGTCACCCTGATCCTTAGGGGCTGGAGAACACCTGGGACGTCACCATTGCTTTTGCAGGTGGGGACAGTCGTGGCTCTCTGGGCGCCCAAGCTGCAGGGCTGCGTCTCACCTCTGTCCCTGCCCCACACTGGCTCTGGGGGGGTCAGCCGGCCCGTGGACCAGGCCCGGTCAGAGGTGGAGGCCGCTCCACAAACACCAATGAACCCAGAGGCCCGGGTCCCGCCCGAGCTCCTGCAAAACGCCAGGACCCGAAGGCTCTGCACCCCAGGAACCGGCCAGCCCCGCTGCCCGTGGCTGCGTATTCTAGCCCCTGGCCACGACTCTCCACCTGCCCCTCCCCCCAGACTCGCCGGGCCCGGCCCCGCGGGTCACCTGCATTCGATGAACCAGTGTCGGATCTGGTCCTGCAGGTTCTCCTTGATGTCGGGTCCCTCCACGAGTTTCAGGTCGTCCTTGATGGACACCAGCGCGTTCTGGTAGTCGGCCTCGTGCCGGCCCTGCGTCTCGTCCCGCTGCGAGCGCACCTTCTCCGCCTGCTCCACCGTCGGGCTGACCTTGTTGAACAGGGGCGGCGGCATCTGGAAACAGAAGCGGGAGCGGGGGGGGCTGCGATGGGGGGACCCTGACAGCGCCAAGGGCCCGAAGCCCACGGCACACACCCGCAGCGCGAGGCTGACAGGCTCCACTCTCAGACCGAAACCCAGCAGGCCTAAGGCTCGGTTTCCCCCGTCAGAAAGTCCCGACTTCTCAGAGAACGATCTCACCCTGGGCAGAGAAGCCGCCTCGTGGCAGCAGCCTATCAGAGTAGGGGGCACAGGCAGGGGCGTCCAGCCAAGGAGAGAGGGCCCAGGGCATGGAGTCATGGGACCGGACAGGGACCAGAATGGGAAACATATCGCCCGTTCCTAGAAAAATGCTGTTATGTAACCAAACTCTATGTAAACTGCATAGAATTCGGAGTCGGGGTCCTTGTCAAGACTCTACTGTGTTGATGGAGTACTATGTAGCTGTTAGAAAAGACGAAGTCATGAAATGTACATACAAGTGGTACTGCATGGAAAGTATCATGCTAAGCGAAATGAGTCAGAAAGAGAGGGACAGACATAGAAAGACTGCATTCATCTGGGGAACATAAAGTAACAAAATAGGAGACTAAGACCCAAGAACAGCTTTGGTAAATACCAGGTTGTTCACTCCATGGCTTAGAGGCCAGCTGCACACTCTAGGGGTAAAGGCAGCTCAGACAGAGAAGGGAGCACCAAGTAAAGGGTGTTGGGAGGATCCTCCCAGGATGGAAGAAGCATGCTGAAAGTAGACTATAGACCGAACATGATTGCCACCCATTGCCTCTTTTGCAAACCACAACACCCAATAGGAGAGAGAGAACAAAAGGGAATGCCCTGCCACAGAGGCAGGGTGGGATGGGGGGATGGGGGGTGGGAGGGATACTGGGACCCGTGGTGGTGGGAAATGGGCACTGGTGGAGGGATGGGTGTTTGATCATTGTATAATTGAAACCCAAGCACAAAAATTTGTAAGTCTACAACAGTACCTCATGGTGTCTCACTAATAAAAATTTTAAAAAAAGGACTCTACTGTGTTGGATGAGACTCGGACCCTAGCTCAAGCTAGCGATAAAGGGGCCTTGCGTCTGGTCTGGTCAACGTGCCAGCGAAACTCCCCCGGGACATAACACCAGAACCCGCTGGGACAGAGGCAGCCGTCTGGGTTCGGGAAAGACACTTCCCGCCAGGCAGGGTGTTTCCCAACCTTACTGATGGGTGGGAGAACAGAGCGTACAATTGCAAAGGGGGGATCCCCCGGGTGATGGGCGTGTGCGGGGGCAGAAAGATGAAGCTCGACCCCCGGCCTGTGTTTAAACCCCCCCAAGCCAGCCCTGCTCAGCCTGGCCACCTCCCTGCCCGGCTGCTGTGAGAAGGTCATGGGTTGCCATGGAGACAGGGATTCTCATCAGCACCAGCCTCAGGGGTGGGGTGGGAGGGTGGGGCAGTACAGCAGTAGGGGGCGCCTGTGAGCCCAGTCCGAGCACACGGACCCTCCCCATCGGTCTCGGGTTTGGGTTCGTGAGCTGTGCCTGGCAGTGCTCAAGGCTCACTCCTGGTTCTGTGCTCAGGGCTGACTCCTGGCTCTGTGCTCAGGACTGACTCCCGGCTCAGTGCTCAGGGATTGTTCCTGCTATGCTCGGGAATCCTCTGGACTGCCAGAGATCGAACCCTGGCCAGCCACTTGGAAAGCCAGCACCCTGCCCGCTGTCAAGCTCTCACTCGACCATCTCTGGAGGTGCCACTGAGGTCGGGGGGAACATCGGGGCTGTGAGCAGGGCCTGGGTCATGGCGACTAAGGCAAGAGCATGGTCTCACTGCCTCGCTGCCCCCCTGAATCACTTTTACAGAATTTTACCTAGAACACATCTCCCCATGTCAGTGATGTTGCTTGTGTCTTGATGCTGAGACACTGTGTTTTTTTTTTCTTTTTGGGACACACCCAGCGATGCTCAGGGGTGACTCCTGGCTCTGCCCTCAGGAATCACTCCTGGTGATGCTCAGGGGACCATATGGGATGCTGGGAATCGAACCCGGGTCGGCCGTGTGCAAGGCAAACGCCCTCCCCACTGAGCTGTCGCTCCGTCCTGATGCTGAGACACCATAAACCCGCCTGTTGGCTGTGACCAGTGTTGCGCTGAGCAGAGCCAGCCAGGAGGAGAGGGACCCATGACGGTGTCCACCCCCGAGGTCGGGCAAGGGGGGGCAGCAGCTCTGCTGGGGTGGCCGGTGGCCGGGTGTGGCCTGTCACGCGTGCTGTCCAGCACGAAGCCTTGGCTGAGGACAGCCAGGCATGACATGCTGCTCTTCCCACAGTGCTCCTTCGAGGTGGGGGGCAGGTTCCAGACCTCGACTCTAGAAACACGCAGACTCCAGAAGCACCGAGTGTTCTGGCTGGGGCTTGGCTTCCGGCTGAGTCTAGACTCAAGAAATTGACGGAGAAACTAAGGCAGGTGAACGTCCGAGTCCCGCCTGTGTCGAGAACAGGGGACAGCGCCAGAGACGGGGTCGTCACAAACCACTATTGAAGAACTCGTCTGGCAGAATGTCCCGACCCTGTGCCAGGCTGTCTTCACCGGGGCCCCATGGAGGAGGGGGGGTGGGTTGAGCCTCTCTCCCCTCCCCAAGCAGAACCCTGGCAGCCAAAAACGTCCAGAACCCAGCCACAGCCTCGCTCAAGGCCACTCTCCACACCCGGACAAGCCTCACCCAAGAGGGAACCAGCAGGAAAACCCAGGTACGCAGGACCCGTGACTGAGATCTCCAAGCCCGCTTGGGTTGGGACTGGGCCTCCTCCCTCCTGCTCCCCAGTGTTCCGGTAGCCTGGCAGTCACACCCGCAAACTGCCGCCAGCGTCATGTAATCCCATCAACGGCCAAGATCCAGGGACTATACAACAAAGTTCCCGAAGAGAACAGCACCAAATGTCCTGACCCCTTCTACGCTGGCCCACTCACGTCCCAAAAGTAGCACACATCTGTTTGGTTTTCACATACGTGTTTGTAGTCTCTCCTAGTTGGGCTTAAACGGCCCCAGAATGAAATCCAACAACCTTCACACACTCCCCTCTTATTGTGGTGGGAAGGTGCTCGGCGGTGGGTTTGGTGCTGGAATATTTTCTGCAATGAACTATCGTGAACTGCTTCATGCAAATGAAATGCATAAAAATGGAAAAGCACAAAGAACTAGTTTGCTCGGGCCGATCTTAAAACGGACAAACGAATTTCAGCGTGGCACGGACGCCAAGCTCTGCCCTCATCTTAGTGCACACGCGAGTGTCAGTCGGCTGGGAGTGACGGAGGGAACAGGGCAAAAGGCACCAGGGCCGGGGAGCATGGCGGCCTGTCCCTGTCATGGGGACTTCACTCTGCTCGGGGCCAGGAAGACAGTACAGCAGGGAGGGCACCCACCTCGCTCATGGCCAACACAAGCTATGTTCCCCACACCCGAGCCCCGCCAGGAGTGATCTCTGAGCACAGAGCCTGGAGTAAGCCCTGAGCACTGCCAGGAGTGATCTCCGAGCACAGAGCCAGGAGTCAGCCCTGAGCACTGCCAGGAGTGATCTCCGAGCACAGAGCCAGGAGTCAGCCCTGAGCACCACCAGGAGTGATCTCCGAGCACAGAGCCAGGAGTCAGCCCTGAGCACTGCCAGGAGTGATCTCCGAGCACAGAGCCAGGAGTCAGCCCTGAGCACTGCCAGGAGTGATCTCTGAGCACAGAGCCTGGAGTCAGCCCTGAGCACCGCCAGGAGTGATCTCCGAGCACAGAGCCAGGAGTCAGCCCTGAGCACTGCCAGGAGTGATCTCTGAGCACAGAGCCTGGAGTAAGCCCTGAGCACTGCCAGGAGTGATCTCTGAGCACAGAGCCTGGAGTCAGCCCTGAGCACTGCCAGGAGTGATCTCCGAGCACAGAGCCAGGAGTCAGCCCTGAGCACCACCAGGAGTGATCTCCGAACACAGAGCCAGGAGTCAGCCCTGAGCACTGCCAGGAGTGATCTCTGAGCACAGAGACTGGAGTCAGCCCTGAGCACCGCCAGGAGTGATCTCTGAGCACAGAGACTGGAGTAAGCCCTGAGCACTGCCAGGAGTGATCTCCGAGCACAGAGCCTGGAGTAGGCCCTGAGCACTGCCAGATGTGCCCCCCAAACATAAAAACAGACAAGGATTCGACTATCCTCTGAGACTCAGTGGCTTGTGGCGTGTGCAAGGAGTAGCCACACACGTTATTTTCCTGCAGGCGTGTGCGTCCGTCTTCCTAGCCAGGGTGTAATAAATGTCGGGCTGTGGGGGGCTTCATGCACACGGCCTCCCGATGCCGCAGCGGGCAGGTCACGGGCTACCCCTGAGTGCAGAGCCGGGGTCTCCCCGAAGCTTCCTCGGTCACTCTCTGCTCCCTGCCTTTCACCGGCGTCCGGCTCACGAACCTTCCTTCCCACGAGGTGGTCCCGGCCGGGAGGGCCTGAGAGTGCTGAGTGTCTGGGACTGAGTGAGCCCTGCAGCAGCTCAAGAGAGTCCCCCCCACGTCCCCCCACACACAGAGGGAGGGCAGGGGGCCCTGGAGGCAGCACAAGGCTCGGGGCTGGCTGGAGCCGAGTCGGGGGGCCCTGGAGTCCTACACACAGACGGTGGCCCTCAGCCCTCCTGCAGGTCAGGGACCTCGGCCCCTGGGGGCAGCCCGTGGCTCCCGCCTCAAACCTGGCTTCCGAGTGCAGGAAATAACGCCGGACGGTCCATAAGGGGACAGTGACGGGCCTTCCCTCGCGGTGAGGACCCCTGGGCGCGGGGTGACCGAGAAGGTTCCCCCTGCCCATCCCCCAACTTAGTTTTCTCTTGCGATGGCCCCGAGGGCGGGAGGTTCTGATGTCCGCCCACGCCCTTCCTCATTCCTACGCGGGTTTCGCTTTGCTGAAGCCCATCCTCGCGTGCTCCCTTCCGAACGGTCTGGCCTGGCCGGGGGCAGCTTCCGAACGGCCTTCCCGATGACCACGGAGGGCCCAGCCAAAAGCCAGCAGCCCC